TTGGGAACATCCAACTTCTTTTGCAATTACCTTTTGAGACTTTCCCTCCTTATGGAAAGGAGTCAATGATGCTTTTCTGCACAACTGTCAGGGCAGCAGTCTTTCCCATGAATGTGATTCCTATTGAACCAGACTGAGAGACCATTTAAAGGCTCAGGAACCATTTGCAAGTGTTATGGCTTAATTAGCTGATTAGCGCGGGGCACTTTGATCTTAGAATATTGCACCTTTTCACAATATTCTAATTCTGGAAGTAACTGATACACAAATAAATATTGCAACTTTAAATCTACAACCAGGGGTGGGCTGCTGGGGGTTCGCAGGAGTTTGGGAGAACCGCTAGCTAAGATTCTGTGCAGTTCAGAGAACCACCAAATCCCACTCCTGGCTGGACCTGCCCACCACGCCCAGAAGTCCCCACACGGCCCGTGTGGGTGGATGCAGGTAAGTGCAGGACACATGCAGAGGTTTGGGGAGGGTAAAAAATGGGCCTACCAGAAGTTTGGAAAGGCCAGAAACTGGCCCTTGAGAGAGCCTGGGGAGGCCGTTTTTTGCCCTCCCAGGGTCTCAAAGAAAGCCTCCAGAGCCCGGGGAGGGCAAGAACACCCGCCACACACACTGTGGTGCAAGAGGCTGACTAGGCCACACCCACCATGGCCACGCCCACCCAGCAACCAGGCAGAGAACCCCTTACTAAAATTTTTGAAGCCCACCCCTGAGTACAAATAAACGGAAGAACATGAATTAAAAATGAAATGAAAACAAATAAAGAAAATGTGATATATATTGTGTTTATGAATTAAATAAAAAGGCAAGAGTTTTAAAAGGCTCCATTGCCACTAGCTGTCTCGTGAAAACAATTCTTACAGAGAGAAGAAAGGAGGTGAGAATCTGTCTCTGAAATTCCCTCATCCCACTTCATATCCAGTGACATTGCCATGCTTTGCGTTGCAAGGAGGATCCCAGAATTTTGAAGGCTCTTTTTTTAAAAAAATGTTAGGGGTGTGTTTATGTGTGTTTATTTAAAATTAGTAACGTTGCTTGTAAGCTGCTTTGGTTAGATCAGTATCTTGAAAAGCAAGATGTAAAGGAGAGTAATCAATCAAATTAAGAGTGACATCCCATTATTTTCATTGTCATTTGCAGCTTTGCATTGCTAAATACAGCAACCACTATATAAACTCTGGGGAGTTTTTTGTTTTTTTTTAAGGTGTTTGAGAGAACAGACTGAAGAAACTCAAGGCAGGGAAATCAAGACATAGAGCACAGAACTTGTATGTGAAAACAGATGTTTCCTCTGAAATGTGTGAGTTGGACTACAGATGAACATGATTTTTTAAAATTTTATAGTAAGTACTTATGTCAATTTTTTAAAATGTATATATTGCAGGATTAACTCTATAATGTTGCCTCAGAATTAATAATCATGCTAATTTTTAAAAAAGAAAAGAATGGAAATAATGCAATAAATGGAACAGCTCCAAAACAAATAGCCATATTTGTTTGAAAGTCTTCTTCCTTAATCCTTTATTTTTTTAAAAAAAAGTTGGAAAAAATACATATCAATAATTCATTGTTACAAATCAGGATAGAGCTTTCCCAGTGTTTTTCATTTAGTCAAAACCCCAACTCCACCCAATTCTTGATAATTCAAAATACTAGGGGTACAGCCAAGACAGCATTAGTTACAATAACTCTTCTTTATGACAGATTTCAAATATGATAAGTTCCTTAATGATGAGCCTCATAAAAGAATAACTTGAATTTACTATATGTTTTTTTTCTCTCCATTTCAGAGATTCCTCATAAAAGAACTCAAGAAGATTCTGGATGTAAATATTTTGAGTTGCTTCATACTCAGTCAGGTAGACACAGTCAACAGCCCACAATCTTCAGTATTTCACTGTATTTCAAGGTGTTGATTCTGGAACCTTTTTCATGCAATCAGTGAATTCTGATGTTGTGTTATGATCCCTTCCGTATGTTTTGATTCACACTTCATATTAAGTCATTCTTTTCTAAACAAGTGTGCGATTTAAAAAAGAATGACTTAACATTCTTATAATGCTTACAACACCAAGCTACAATATCTGGGTTCACATTTTACATTAATCCATAAATAAATCATATTGTAGCTCAGATCAGAGTGTGAATCCAGACTTTAATTTATCTAGGTCATTAAGTTTCGAATGGTTCATAATATATACACATAATATGGTTCATAAGCTTCCTAACAGACAGGAAGCAGCAGGTGAAGCTAGGCAAAATCACATCAGAT